ATAGTGGCATAGGCAATGCCGTCAGGTCCCACAGGAACAGCTCCTGGAAAACCTGCATTGATAGAGTTGACCGTGGTAGGGTAACTACCAGTATATGCCAAAGGTTGAGTTTGAGGATATTGTACAGAAGGATCCATAGTGGCATATGGCGTGCCGTCAGGCCCTATAGGAACAGCTCCTGGAAAACCTCCATTAACAGAGTTGTCTGTATTCAATGAGACACCATTTGAGCTCGCCGGGAAGTCACCTCCAATTATGATTCCAGGTTGGCCAACAGGTTCACTCAATCCTGTAGGCTGCTGCGACTTCACAGTTTTCGTGGGACCCTGTGTGGTGGTCTTTGCTGGCAGTCGTGCAATAAGTTGTAAGACCCTCTGTAGCGGTTCGATTTTTATTCCACGTTTTTCAAGATCTGCCGGGGTGAAACGTGTAACTCCTTTCTGATAGTTGGGTGTACTCGTTAGCATTAAGATAAAGCTCGGTTCCATATCCGGAAACTGCTTTATGTCATCAATAGTGAAGCTAGGGTTATTGGAATCGAATCCTGGAGAAAAATTTATGTTCACAGTCTTCGTGGGACCCTGTGTGGTGGTCTTTGCAGGCAGCCGTGCAACAAGTTGTAAGACCCTCTGTAGCGTGTCCATTTTTATTCCACTTTTTTCAAGATCTGCCGGGGTGAAACGTGTAACTCCTTTCTGATAGTTGGGTGTACTCGTTAGCATCAAGATGAAGCTCGGTTCCATATCCGGAAACTGCTTTATGTCATCAATAGTGAAGCTAGGGTTATTGGGATCGAGTCCTGGAGAAAAATTTATGTTCACAGTCTTCGTGGGACCCTGTGTGGTGGTCTTTGCAGGCAGCCGTGCAACAAGTTGTAAGACCCTCTGTAGCGTGTCCATTTTTATTCCACTTTTTTCAAGATCTGCCGGGGTGAAACGTGTAACTCCTTTCTGATAGTTGGGTGTACTCGTTAGCATTAAGATGAAGCTCGGTTCCATATCCGGAAACTGTTTTATGTCATCAATAGTGAAGCTAGGATTATTGGGATCAAGTCCTGGAGAAAACTTTATGTTCACAGTTTTTGTGGAACCCTGTGTGATGGTGTTTCCGCCCCTAGGCAGCCCTGCCATAAGTTTTAGGACTATCTGTAATAAATCCGGGTTCATCCCCATTCCTTGTAGATCAGCCGGGGTGAAACGTGTAACTCCTTTCTGATAGTTGGGTGTACTCGTTAGCATTAAGATAAAGCTCGGTTCCATATCCGGAAACTGTTTTATGTCATCAATAGTGAAGCTAGGATTATTGGGATCGAGTCCTGGAGAAAACTTTATGTTCACAGTCTTCGTGGGACCCTGTATGATGGTGTTTCCGCCCCTAGGCAGCCCTGCCATAAGTTTTAGGACTATCTGTAATATATCCGGGTTCATCCCCATTCCTTGTAGATCAGCCGGGGTGAAACGTGTAACTCCTTTCTGATAGTTGGGTGTACTCGTTAGCATTAAGATAAANGTAACTCCTTTCTGATAGTTGGGTGTACTTGTGAGCATAGAAATGAAGCTCGGTTCCACATTCGGAAACTGTTTTATGTCATCAATAGTGAAGCTAGGATTATTGGGATCGAGTCCTGGAGAAAACTTTATGTTAACAGTCTTCGTGGGACCCTGTATGATGGTGTTTCCGCTCCCTGACATTCCTGCAATTAGTTGTAGGACTATCTGTAACATTTCCGAGTTCATTCCCATTCCTTTAAGAGTAGCCGGGGTGAAACGTGTAACTCCTTTCTGATAGTTGGGTGTACTTGTGAGCATAGAAATGAAGCTCGGTTCCANGTATGATGGTGTTTCCGCTCCCTGACATTCCTGCAATTAGTTGTAGGACTATCTGTAATATATCCGGGTTCATTCCCATTCCTTGTAGATCAGCCGGGGTGAAACGTGTAACTCCTTTCTGATAGTTGGGTGTACTTGTGAGCATAGAAATGAAGCTCGGTTCCACATTCGGAAACTGTTTTA